ACAGTCATGACAGAGGGGTGTTTGGGACCGGAAGAGGCGAAGATGTACCTCTCCAACGGTAAGTGGAGCACGGAGTTCACCGAGGGGGCAGAGGTCTACGACATGAAGCTCAAGGTTGGCGACACACAGACCAGCACGTTTGCGGCAGGTTCTCCACCTCCCTTTTACGAGTGGGATGCGCCGCGCAAAGATGTGAAGGTCGCGCGCAAGGCTAAGCGCAAGAGCAAAGCGGGAGCGGGGGTTGGCGCAGGCGATGTGGCGGCTGATGGGGCTGGAACAAAGCCTAGGGATAAGATTAAGGAAGGGTACGAAGGGAAGGCAAAGGGCTCCAAGCAGTACCTGTGGGAACGGGGATGGTGGAAAGAGGGGATGAATGCGTCAGTGGGGATCGCTGACGAGAAGAACGTCGAGAAAGTCTTGCAGGCACTGACGGATTTTGAGAGTGAGAGGACGGCGCTGCAGTACTTGGTCGAGAGCAGGGGACACATACTTTTGTTGTCTCCGAAGTGTCACCCAGAGGTAGCGGGGGTAGGGATCGAGTACTCGTGGGGGTTTTCCAAGCAGAGGTTTCGGCGGAAGTACAACGACGAAGTCCCGAAGCACTTGCACGCCAACATCGAAAAATCGATGTGCAGGGAAAAGCATTTGACGATCGGTCGGGTGCGACGCTTCGCCCGGCGTACACGGGACTACTGCCGAGCTTACCGCGAAATACAGCTGGGTGCGGCAGACGGCCAGGGTCTACAGCTGGTCGAGAAAATGCGCAACACCCAAAAGGCTCACCGCAACATACTGGACATGGAGCCCGGTTTCCTTGGCAAGCAGTGACCTTGGCCGGCCGGCAGGAAGGGGGGGGGGTACATGATGCTGTAGAGAGTTACATGTATATGTTGTTGAAGATTGTATAGTTGTTTATTTTACGCAGCGTGCGTGTTGTTGTTGGCTTTGTATTACAGGTTAAGCATGGGTGTGGTTGTGTGCAAAATATCGTGCGGTGATGCCGTAAAAGTCTGCTTTTTTTCCGGTCGAGTTGAGACATATTTGTTCGAGTTTGTGCACGCGCATGTTGGCGTCGTGAGCTTTTAATACATGTTTCACATCATCACGACCAGTGGGTACAACTCATGTACGTCATGGGCTGGTAGGCAGCGCCAGTGTGGCTCCTGCCAACTACACCGCTTTCGCACACGTCTCTACGGTCCCTAGACCCCTCATTTTCCTATATAAATGGTGTGCCCCTGCACCCAGGTTCTGAGGCCAGAACAAAATTCTGGATTTCCCGCGCGGTTTTTTCGAATGAGAACCTGAAATTTTGAGACGGCATCTGCATGAGTACAACAAAAACAATTACCACTGCGCCATTTTGGATTTTGTTTTTTTTTTTGGTCACTTTGTCCCAAAACAAGTATTCCCATATTTACAACAATAGGGATAACTCATGAAAAAAAAAAATCCAAATGGCGCAGTGGTAATTTTTCTTGTTGTACTCATGCAAATGCCGTCTCAAAATTTCAGGTCCTGATTCGAAAAAACCGCGCGGGAAATCCGGTCCAACCGTGAAATACGCGTCTTGGCTGGACCAGCTTGTACCCGCGCGCCGTGTGCCGTGTGCCCAAATTCCGTTATCCTCGTCCTCGCACCTTCCCCATCCATGTACTCGTACATACATGAAGATGGCTACTGTTGTAGACTACACCACATTTGTCATGGTACTACATACACACTCGATGATGATCATAATGCGTAACAATTTGGAGATTAAACACCTCGCACAGCAGTCCACCGTGGTCAAGTCCACCGTCCCGTGGTCTCACGTACTGTTTGCCCGTGCGCCGTGATACATGTATGTACATGTGGTCAATATCTTATCCCTTCCATCGCCGAGCCTTACTCGNCGCGCGCCGTGTGCCGTGTGCCCAAATTCCGTTATCCTCGTCCTCGCACCTTCCCCATCCATGTACTCGTACATACATGAAGATGGCTACTGTTGTAGACTACACCACATTTGTCATGGTACTACATACACACTCGATGATGATCATAATGCGTAACAATTTGGAGATTAAACACCTCGCACAGCAGTCCACCGTGGTCAAGTCCACCGTCCCGTGGTCTCACGTACTGTTTGCCCGTGCGCCGTGATACATGTATGTACATGTGGTCAATATCTTATCCCTTCCATCGCCGAGCCTTACTCGCTAAGTCTACATCTTGTCCCTTGCAGCATCCCCGTATGTGCGTTGCTTGGTGAGAGAAATTTAGTCGAACACGAACAAGATGACAACTATAGGTCCTACAGCAGCTGTACTTCTTGTGTACATGCTTGTCATGTGTACACGCGGCAACCTGCCTGGTGGTTGAAGCGGGTTACACAAAGCATATAATGACCGCGTGCGTTTCTCGTACATCGTACGTTTCTTCGTCCATTTTTATATCTAGCTGAGTCAGCTGAGCGGCGGGAAAGTACAACTGCATGCATGCTTGCATGTTTCGATGGATAACGACACCCCATATGCATGCACGTATGTATGCTGTAGTAACGACAAACTACAACATGCCCCGAATATTTCAAAGTTTGGTGAGCGGGCGATCGACGAAGATTGGAAAAAGAAACACTCAACTCAACAACAAATCGATTCAATTCAACTTGAAATGGAGTCTTTTGGCAGGTATTATTTCCCTGCTCCATGCTGCTCTTCCTGTCTACATTGTACCAGCCAGTGTTCGTTTCTATTTCTCGTAGGTCTATCATCTGTGGGGAGTTGTCTTATCCTCTCTGTGATATATGGTAGATGGTGTGTTGCGACGACGGAAGGTATCCGCATCATTAATGGGCACGTAATGGAGACCGTCCGACTTATATGATGTACATCACGTCGTATGTTCCGTCCAGGTCGTATGCCATCACATGGTATGCATAGAAACCCTCGCGAAAGGGCCCCTAAAAAAACTAAAATTCAGGGTTGGTTGTCGTGTCGGCCGCCACCAGCAGTACACGGCCACCCAAGGAAAACGCCATCACTCTTTGGGGCTGTCCATTTCTCCCATATATTTTTTTCCCCAACGTTGGGTACACCCATTCACCGGTGTGGAAAAAGACGGATCGGGCCCGGCACTCATACTCATCACGCGGTACGCGTTCGGGTGCCATCTCAATCCGAAAAAATGCCGAAATGTTTTTCGATGCCCCCCGTGTCCCCCACTCGCGGGTGGGGACGCGCCCGTTTCCAACGTGTTCCGGTCGACGTTACCCAGAAAAACAGTAGTATTCGTGCCCACCGACTATCTGGACGAGTCGAGAAAGCAGAGATCTTGGCTTATTGTGGATGTCCAACCTGAGTTGGGTACCCTTACGGCGCATTTCCGACAATCACAACAACGCCGGTGTTTGTTGACCACGTCATTTTTTACACGTGGTGAGTGCAAAAGTTTTGTTTCACACCTTTTCGAGTGCAAATGTCCCGCTGTATCACCAACGACAACCCTGAAGAATATATCATGTGAACATACGCACACCAGAAGCGTTGTGGCCTAGCCCCTGGTGTAGGCCCGGTTCACAGTACAATCCAGCATGCACGCGAAACAGAAGCCACAGGCAGAGGAGGACAAGAATGCTCGAAATTTCAGCTCCTAAGAAGCACTCTCGCTGCACCATGCATCGCTGCGTCGGGGACCGACACGCACACCACGGGCCCAACAAGGCAAAACAACACCAGACCATCTCAAACTGAATCTACAATTGTACACAACGGGCGTGTGCCCTGAAAGACGTCATTGGATCACCACCATGTGCATCACCCGCCCTAAACACGGGTTGAAATCCGCAAACACACGAAACCGGCTGTGGAGTACACGCTAAGCGGAAAGTGGTGGCACTAGCAAGGGTTTGGCGGTCGGTGGTCAACCCGTCAACAAACATAATACATTCCAATACCTCGCATATGCACCTTGCACGTCCACCAAATCACTACGTCCCACGCGACAAATTACAAAACGCCTGCCTGGCCGAACTATCAATCGGATACCTTTCTGACTTTCACCCACCTCCAACTCTTCAGGCACAATCCCAACGTGAACAATACCCTACCATGTTTTCCCCCATTCTGCAAATGCTCAAGCGGTCGACCCCAGCACCGTAGCAAGCATGACAATGTCCACCCTCCCCAGGCAGTCGAATACGCGCATGACGGGCTTCCGGCAAAAGCACCTGCCGCACCTCCATAGGGTGGCTTCACAGCCAGCAAAGCTATCTTTTGGGTGTTCCGTGATACTTGCTAAAAGCGTCCTCAGGGTTTTTCTGTTGAACCCCTGGTCTTGGCGCTCGTTGATCACCCTTAGCGCGAAAGTGAAGTTGGAAAATGTCATGGTATTGAGCGATCGAAGGCACAACGCCTTCTTCGAATGGTCCTGTTCGTGCGGGTTCAGGTTGATCCCGGCAAGCTCATCACACGTCGTGAAACCACTGTTGCTGGCACTCCTTGCTGTGGTTCTTCTCGTGAGGTGCGTCTGGGCCCACAATATCCCCGACTGCCACATTTTATATTTGGCGTGCTCGGACGACTTGTCGTCGAAGGTGGTGTCATGCCAGACGCAATCGTACCCGGCCACCTCGAAGTTCTTCGCGCTCTCACGAGGGGGGACGTCCACCGCCAGTGCAATCTGAAGGACCATGATAGAGTGCATACCGTCTCCACACCCGATGCCGCAGCGAATGGCACTCTCTGGAAGTTGCACGACCACGGCAAGAGCGTCAAGCGTTAGCGAATGGATGGATACAGAGGTGGTCATGATTCATGCTGTGAAGTTAATCAACTGTAAACCGAACCACGCAACCCAACACGCCATGACCCATGTCATGTAAGCCTGGGGATGCCCGACATCGGTCGCCCGGGCAATACGAGCCCTCCAGAAAACCATCATGAGACACACCTGCGATATTGCGCTCTTTCTCGCCAATCGGCTGTACTCCGTCGACAATGAACTTTGTCTTTGCCTGCAGCAATCCGCACGCGAGAAAAAGGAGTGGCTGTTGGACAACGCCTTAATTCTGACTACGCGTTTCAAACCGACAGCACACCGCACAGAAAAAAGCGAAGGCGCGCACGTCGACAGGCGAAACTCTATAATAGAGGGCTCGCGACTGGTGGATTGTTTGGAGGAGTAGATGGGAGCTTCGATTTTAGAACCACTCAGCAGAGTTTGTGCACCTCTCGACCAAGACCTTTGACTTTGACTGCGGCAATAATTAGAAGCGGCAAAGGTTGGCTGTTCGAACACACCTCAAATATCACCACGCGTACATATGGAAGGACAAGGAAGGAGGCGGCTCGAAAACAGTTTGCCAACGGCCCGACGCGCAGGGAATCTCAGGCAAGCGATTCTGAAGGGTGGACTCTAGAGGGCTAGCGAGAGGCGAATTGTGTGGAGGGATGGATACAGCCTTCGTTTTTGAAACCGCAAAACAGTGCTCGTCCACCTTTGCGCCAAGTCAGTGATTGCATCACAAAGGGCAAACCGATAACCCAACGCCGAATCCCTTACCCCAAGTGCTCTCAGAAAGGTTGAGATACCGATGCAATGATCAAGAGAAGGCAATAGGTTGGTGTACTCAACCTCCGGCTGCTATATCATCTGATCATTAATGCGCTTACCGCCGCGTATGCATGCAACCCGTCCACCTGGGTAGCACAGAGGGTTGAAGTATCACCGTCCACGAAATCCCCCGCACCAAACCAATCCGGCAAGCATGCACCCTTTCCATTCCTGGCCCCGCGCGCAACCACCAGCACTTCCAGCAAGTGCTTTTCGGCGTCACTAGTGCTGACTGCGTCCACGCTCTCAGCGGTGGTCCCGACAGGCACTACTCCGTGGGAAGGCCTTCGTAGGGTCCACCCGGTAGCCCCTACCTCAAGCATGCCTGGTTCATCTTCGGCGATGTTTCGGAGCCAGACGTACGTGAAAATGAGGACCTCCAACAAGGAGTTCACCCGGATTCCTGCCTTCCCGAGAGCTGCCACAGCTCTCGTGGCCGCCAAGTTAACGGCCTTCGGTACTGGCCCCTGTGTTTCGGCGGACGCGTGCAGAAGGTCGTAGACGTTTACTTGGCTCTGCACACGATCGCCCTGGGCAGCAGCCTTGAGGGCATACACGTCGACTTTGCTGTCTCTCTTTGGTGGAACAGGTAGAGAAACTTGCGGTGCTTCGACGGTGGTACTTGCGCCGTTGCTGCCGAGGTGTGCCAACGCCGGCAAGAAGACGCGTGGTGTGGGTGCGGGCTCGCCATCCTCGGTGTCATTTGAGGCAGCGTTGCTGTACCCGCTGCCCCCCGCCCCCACCCCGTCGTCGCCAAGCCGAGTGGGTCTCCCGCGGTTTTGAAGGACCCCCGGGAGGTGTTTTTCCATGTGCGCCACGCTTTGCATCCGGCATCGTACACCCCAAGAACCGGCGTTTGCTGTCATGTTGGCAAAGGACAAGGGCAACACGAAAAACGGCACAGGCGGAAGTTAAACCAAACCGACAAACACATCGCCTGCGGGTCAGGGACAGAGCGCGGTTTAGCACGCTTGGACGTTTGTCCGATCCAAGCGTAGGCGGGCGCACGTTACCTAACAACGTACTCCTCAAACACCAAGCAGAGTTGAGCCAACGGTGACACGTAGTTACTCTAGTGACAAGTATGTCGTGCTCTCCGTCGTTCCTTTACTCCCTCGCAAGAAGTCCCACTGTGTGAACCTTCTTTGTATTTTCTATTTCGCGTGTTGTCATCGTCGTCATCGTGACGTTGTCGTTACTCGGGAAATATTTCAAGTCAGGTTAACGTCAATCAAGCCATCCACCTACCTTTTCGCCCCACGTAGTAGGTCCCCATGTTTTTGTTATGGATACTTTCGAGGGGGGAGGGGTGTACTCATAGTCGTGCNTTCAATCAAGCCATCCACCTACCCTTTCGCCACACGTAGTAGGTCCCCATGTTTTTGTTTTGGATACTTTCGAGGGGGGAGGGGTGTACTCACAGTCGTGCATGCCGTAGTCGTTAGACCATTGACCTCGCATCCCTACAAAGCCGGGACGGAGCACGCCGGGTTCTCACCGGACCAGGCTCTCACATCACCAAGCGCGAAGCGCCGTGAGATATTCGGCGAGTCGCATGAAGGGTGCGCTGCATCCTGCTAAGGGTGTTCGGCATTTTGTGCTAACTTCCTTGCGTACGGATGACAGCTGCGTATGACTCAATTTAATTTCTGGTGCTTTCACTTCCAGAGACAGTTGTAAGCTCTGTG